ACTCGATGAAGGCGACGCGCGCGAAGGGCGGCGACACGACGAAGCACGACGGTCGCGCGCTGCCCACGGCCACCCCCTGCGCGTGCGCGACGGCCACCGCCTCCGCCACCTGCCTGAACACGTGCACGCACTCCGCCGCCTCCACCGCCCGGCCCGGCCGGTCCAGCCACTCCCGCAGGCTCACCTCGCCCCCGTCCTCCCCTCGTCTCCCTTCCTCCGCCGCATCGCCCTCCGCCTCCCCCCAACGCCGCCCGCCGCCAGCAGCGCCACGGGACGGCTCCATACCACACACTCCACCCCCTCCACTCTACCCCATGACCGGGATCACCTCCGATTTGCCGCGCCCCGCACCTCCACGCACTGCTCCGCCAGACCCATCTTCTAAAGCAGAAAGGACAGCTCCAAACTCCAAGCTCCGAACGGCCTCGATGCAGCGAAGGGGATAAGGATCTGAACCAGCAGCAAGCAGCCACCTGAGCCCGCCGAAGAAACGCGAGGTGGGAGGAGCAATGACCAGGTGAGAGGAGTGGAGCAGAGGCGAGCAGCGAGCCACACAAAGCCGCTTTATAAATCGGGGCTCTCTCGTCTACTACCGCTTTAATTCCGTCGCCTCGGTAGCCGCCTCCCAGCCGCACAATGCCCGCGACCCTTACCCACGAACACCTCGCCCTCGCCCCAGTTCGGAGCGGCAGCCAGCGGCACAGCGACCAGACCAGTCCATCTCCCTCGCCCCCGAACTGCTACAGGACCAGTAGACACCAAACCTGACCGCGGAGATGAAACGGCGACGACGCTGTCTTGACTTGACGCCCACAGAACACCCCCACCACTGGCTGCCGCGCCGCGGAGGTGGAAGAAAACGGAGCCGGCGAAGCCCAGGAACAACAACAACTCGAGCGCCGTACGCGCCCCTACTCCTCGAGTTCTCCCCCGGTCTACTGATACTTCCCCGGCGATTCCCAAAGAGATTTGCCTCGAGCACGAGATCAAGATCAGAAACTATCATTTAAAAATCCCGAAAAAGCAGCCGCTTGTGACGTGGCGCTACTAATAATGGAAATCGCGGGGACCACGCAAAAGACGGAAGCCGTCAAGCCACGCGGCCCATATTGTTGCTGTCTCATGACAGCCGGGCCAGGCGACCCCGGAGTGGCCCAGCGACCGGTGACTGCCGCCTGGCTCGGCTCGCGTGACAAACCGCCTGCCACGAAGTGGATCAAAAGGGCGCTTGTTTTCCAAAAGCGCGCACCTGGGCTTGATGATAACTAAAAGCGCCACGTATCCGTACCGGGCCCACCCGTCGGCCTGCAACCGGAGCATCATGGCATGGGCCGCCCGACCGGGGACTGAAGAGCGGACGCGGAGCAGTTTGACCCAATGGGTGGTGCCCCGTCGCTGTCCGGGGGTCCGCCTTATATATTCCGCCGAGGAGCCCAACCGTCAGAGGGTAGGCACCTGGGCGTTGGGCGAGGGCCGGGTGCGAGCGCGGGCGCGGCGGACGTGGCGCGACGACGGCCGCACGCCCGTGGTGGGTTGGGACTGGACTCGAGGCGCCCCAGCACGGGCCACGTAGCCGCGCCACCGGCTTCGCGCAGCCGGAACCGCCAGGGTTAGACTAGTTTAATCGCGATCCGGGGGATTAGACTAAGGGCCTGTTTATGTTTAGTTCAAAAAAAAAATTTTACGTAGTATCCATCACATCGAATCTTACGACACATGTATAAAGTACTAAATATAGACGAAAAAAAAACTAATTATACAGTTGGGTGAGAAATCACGAGACGAAGCTTTCGAACCTAATTAATCTATAATTAAACACTAATTATCAAATACAAACAAAAATATTACCATAGCCAAAACTCTAAAAAATTTACATCTAAACGCGCCCTAATCCGGATCTGGGGCCGAGAGCGGTGTCCGGGAGTGGTAATACATTTGTTTAGCGGGACCACGTTTTGTTTCCCTTTTGATCCGTTTTCAGCTGGAGTGGGCGGCACGAGTTTCTGTGCACTCGCACTCGCACTCGCACGCCGGGGCGGGCGGGCCTCTTGTTCGGGGGACAGGCCGGGCCGGACTCCCACGAGGCCGGGCCGGACTCCTCCGTTATAAAAAAAGCTCTTGTGGAAATCTTTAGGTGATCTATCTACCATTTTTCTTTCAAGCTGTAAACGATATTTTTCTCTCATAAATTTTAACACGCCCTAAGGCTCCGTTCCTCGGCCCTTAAATCTAGCTCGATCTATTTATTTTTTTCATTCAGAACAGTATTTTTCTCTCATAAATTCCTTTAGCATTCCTCCAAATTATCCAGATTCCTCTAAAATTCAGACAAAGCGAACAAGCCCTAACTATGAAAACGGTACGGATATTTTCTGATCTTATTCGAGACCGAATCCGTTTAAAGGGGTTCAGATCTGTTCGTATCCGAGTCCAGATATTCAACACCCGATACCGTATCCATATTCGAATATTCATATCACATATTTATGATGTTGATATCCAATCATATCCTATTCGATATGATTAACACTATCCGTATTTAAATCCAAATAAATATATAAATAAATATAATATTAATGATATCCGTTCAATCCGTTTTCATCACTACCCACGACCCATATGAACCGCACGGGGTGACGGTGCCACCGGCCGCACAAGTCAAAAGTCTTCAACGGACAAGAAAAGGAACGGATGCGACACTGTCACTGTGCATTTCTATTTTATATACGGCGCGCGTAACGTAATCTGTGACCGGTGGATCAGTGGATTTATTTTTTCGGATGCAGCGAGAGCGGCGAGATCCGGTACCGGGAAGCCCGACCACTCCTCCCTTGCGATTGCGAGGAGATCCCGGCGCGGCTCTTGTGCTCCGGCGAGGTATCGACGGTTCCTCCCCGGCTCCCGGCGTTCCGACGGCTCGTCTCGGCCGGCTAACCACTTGGTTATCTTGCTCCTTCACGCGCGCATAAATCATGAAGTTGTCATGGCCCTCAAGGTCCCCAACTAGGATTTGATTAAGAACAAATTGGGGAACTAAACAAGGATTCCTTGAGAGGGGGAGATTGAAACGTGCCGAAAACAACATCGACACTTGAATCAAGGACCCCGATAACGATCGACCGATTACGCTACCCAGCTCCACGTCATCTTCCTCCCCACCCCTGCCGTCCTCGTGCCCTTCCTGCCCCACCCCGCCTTTCTCACCCGCCGCCCCTGGCTGTGCCGCCCACCGCCGCCCATCGACCCTGCCCTCCCCTGAAGACCGGGAAGCTCACCGGCGCCATCCTCGTTCTCGCTCCCACCCCGCCCTTCCTAATCCTAGGGCACGACATCGGCGAGCTCTGCCACGATGCCCCCGCTGCTAGCCCCGCCCAACCACCTTCTCCTGCCACCCCACCCCGCTACCGTCTCGCCCGCCTCCACCGCCGTGTCGCGGCCACCGCCTTCAAACCCCATTCTAAGGCCACCAAGGAATAGATCTACTTACCTAACGTCGACGAACTCCTCGTCTCCGACGCCGGTGAGCTTCTTGCTGGAATCCTAGCTGCCGTCTTCTTCTTCGTCTCCGGTGGGACGCGATCGTGGGCATCGCGCGCTTGGCTCCAAGGGCGACGGTCATGTAAAAGAAATTCCGTTCAATCATTGGGAGATACAGCTGGGTACCAAGACCATCCGCTAATGAATTAGGAAAAATATCCTATGGTGGCCCATTAAATAAAAACATTATTAAATGGGCTGCAGCTTCAAGCATCTACTAATGATTTCGAAAATATCTTAAGGAAAAGAAAAAAAAAACAGCGCTATGTGCTGATAACTATTACCGATGATGTTGCTTTTAGAAAAAACTACCGATGATGCACATTATGAAGTACACACTATAAGAACCAGAGATTAAAGGCATGCGTTTCAAAATAAATTAATGAAAACTATACGTGACCATTGACAAAATAAATTGTTTAATTTTTCTACCGATAATGTAAATTTAATATTATATTCAGTACAGTCATAAAGATGAAAACAACAAAAAGAAAAGTAAACAGAAGTATTTTTTAAACAAAAAAAAGGCCCGAACCCCGAACTATTATGGCAAAAAGGAGAACATATATGCAAGTCTAAAACCTTTGGAAAAAGATAATCCAAATAAGCATTGGATCTATCGTCGTACATGAGTAATCTGGCAAATGATCATTACGGCAAAAAGGCAACTATTGATCCACGCAAGAAAAGGTATAAGATGATTCAAAATTTAATACCGGAAGATCTTTGTGAGAGACATGCAGTAGAGACTCATGAAGAGCGGACAAATACAACAAACAAAAGATAAACTATTTGCAAAAATTCAAATGAACAATCTCAAATGTTACCATGTTAAAAAAAAACTAGCTACCCGCACTATTTACACGCATCACCTTGATAGTATTTATAATTTAAACTAGTATTTGCCTAAGACTTTTCCAATAACACTAACCATATATTCTTGTCCATGACAACCCATAGAGAAATCCTTTACACAGGATTCAATTTCTCTAGGATGCATTTATCATATAAAGAATTTCATAAACAACATATACGCTTACATGTCAGTGTCAGTAATGCCGTCTTTGTGCAATGGTCGACCGGGTGATGATCTTGATGGCAGGGTAGATTTACTCACTCACTTTATATTTGAAGAAACAGATGCAACAGTGGGTTGGCATAAACAGGGTTATTGCAATTTAGTTGAGACCAAGTTTGGTGACACTGTACCCACTTGCAGTCCAGTAACAATTCATAAACAACATATACGCTTACAAGTCAGTATGAGTAATGCCGCCTTTGTGCAATGGTCGGCCAGGTGATGATCTTGATGCCAGGATAGATTTACTAACTCACTTTATATTTGAAGAAACAGAAGCGACAGTGGGTTGGCATAAACAGGGTTATTGCAATTTTGATGAGACCAAGTTTGGAGATACTGTACTCACTTGCAGTCCGGTAACAAGTATAATCATTCAATCAATTCACTTATCTTGAGGGTTTTGCCTCCCTGCTGAGAGTGAAATAATGCATTGTTGGACCATCTCTTGGACTCTTCTCTTCAGAAGCTTGTCTTTCATGCCAGAAAGCATGCTGTGGTAGAAGATCTCCAAACGATTAAGTTCATCAGTGTCTGCTGCATCCAAAATGTTCTCAAATTCCTTTCTGATATCAAAGACAGAAGATTCCTGAAGTGAACGTGGTAGCGCCCGTTCATCAAGTGGCTTACGGAAGATTGAGATGTGAAGTATATTGGCATATCTCTCCATCAGTGTCAGTTTTGACCTTAGGAATTGTAACTCCTCTGAGGCAGCAGATAGCTTCTGATTCAACTCAGTGCTAGTGCGATCATTCACTCTTGATGTTGATCCTCCCGCTTGGTCCTCATGGATCTCTTGGAAGTTCACATCAAGAGGAGGCCACATCACAACGCATGGTATGTAACTGTCAGCAGTCTGGCCTCTCCCAAGCACACCACTGCGGCCTCTGCCCCATGCCCACATCCTATACCCATCACCAGCAACAAGAACAGTGTGTGCAGCTCCACAGGTGATCTGCACTGGACCAAGAAACTTGAACCCATTTGTCTCAGGAGACTGAATCCTTATTGGATATAAAGCATCCCCTTCATCGACTCCCGAAAAGCTAGCATCTGGGCACAGTCCAAGACCTCTCTCCATTCCCCAGCACCACACCTCTCCATCAGAGGAGACTACGGTTGTGTGGAACAATCCACAGTCAAGAGAAATAAGGAAGGATCCGGTTGGTAGTCCATCGACAGGTTGTGGTGAGCAAATGGTGGCTGTGGTTCCATGGCCAAGCTGCCCCTTGTCACCAAGGCCAAATGTCCAGCACCGAGATTCTATCTGGTCAGAAGACTTCTTATTGGCGAGGACTGCAGTGTGGGAAGCCCCACATGCAATTTCATACACCTCCCAAGAAGATCCTTCGCTAAATGCTGAGATAAGCACAGGACGGGATCTACTTTCCTTGTCACCTAGACCCAACTGACCATGGTTGTTATTTCCCCAAGCATAACAAACAAGGTCACCTTCAGTATAGGTCTCGCCAACACTAACTGCAGCTACTACATGCTCATTACCACAGGCAACCTTAACAACAGTGTGTCCATGGAAATCCCACACAGGTAGTGGGATAGAGCTACTCGCAATACAAAACTCTCCAGCATCAGTCTGCTGTGGGCAACTTCCCCACATCCAAAGGCCCCCCAAACTGTCTATGGCAAATGACATCATGCCACCTGCTTTGACAGAGGACAGCTGTAACAAAACATACATCACGGTTATCAAAATAGAAAGTCAAACTTTCTTAACGATCTTAAAGCTTATATAGTTTGGGAATTATCGAAACTGATGGTACGCCCATACCTTTAAACAAGTCCTATCACGTGTGTTCTGGTCTTCATCATTCAGTGTTTCAGGAGAACCTAGATCCTGAAATTGCTCAACCAAACATGGAAAAAGGGAATTCTGATCCCCATAGCTCAGTTGACCATCTGTTAAATAGTCAAGGAAGTGAAGTACATCGGACAATGGCAGGCATATCAATTGAGAGATTTGCAGCTAACAATTTTTTTTTTTTTTAAGTCAAGAGCTGTAAAGGATACAGAGATTGTAACCCCATGACCAGAGTGAACCTTCATCTGTCACATTGAACTTATTCAGCAATCAGTATGGCACCCATTTCACATGTATGCTGAGGATCGTGTTAAATTGCTTTTGGCACAAAAAAATGCAGCGATAAACATTTTGCACATAATGGAATTAAATACTCACAGCAACGTAAAGTCATATTCATACAAAAACATAGATAATCTACGGATTTTTCTCTGTAGTGGCCAGTGTGACATTGTGGATTCAGCCATTTAATGCAGACTCGGTCAGACTAATAGCAGGAAGTCCTAAAAGACGAGGTACAGAAAATTTCAAGGCAAAGATATTGAATGGCATGTGCAGGAAAATCAAAGTGCCAGTCGGCAGCCGCGAAGTTACCCTTCAAACCCACTCCTACGGGCTGGTCAGACTACTGTAACTACTCGGGTAGTTCTAAAGTTCTAGAATAGCTTATAATTTGGATCACACAACCGCTTCACCACGAACATAAGCAGAGAGCGGATGGGGTAACAGAGCACGAACCGTCCAGCGCAAGGCTATGGTAGGCACCAGCGGCGACGGCGACGAACTTGGGCCGCGGTGTCCCGCCGGCAGAGACCGCGGGCGCCACCGCGGTGGGGACCAGCTCGTCGTCCTCGCGGCCTGTCCCGAGGCGACCGAACGGCCCCCTGCCCCAGGAGTACACCTGCCCGTCACCTGCAATTACAGGCAACGAAAACTCTCGTCAGATTACTGAATACTGAATCCCGGCGAGGGAGCAGGATAATTCGCGCGAGTAAGTGGAGATTCCACTCACCCGTGAGGGCGAGTGTGTGGGCCTCGCCCGCGGCGACGGCGACCACCTTGGGCGGCATCTGCGGGTGGCGGCGGGAGTGGGAGGGGAATGGGCGGCACGGTAGATGAGGAGGAGGATGGGGAGGGGAGCGAGGACGCGGGCATCACAAGTGGAGGCACCGCATTACCGCGAGCGGCGGGCGGCGGGCTGGGTTAAAGCCTTAAAGGTTGCCGCGGCGGTAGGAATTCAGGCAAAGGAGAGGCGCTGAGGACTCCAGTGAGTCGGACGGACAGCAAGGCAACGGCAAGTCGGCAAGTCACCGCTGAGCGAGACCCGATCACTTTGCACCAATTTTTCCGAGGTCGCCGGCGTAAATTATCTTGATGAGATCCAGGATGCACATGTTCCCTCTTCGCTCCGTCCACGACTGGGTTTGTACGTGTCGCGCGTTGCGTCGCCGCGGACGGCCTGCCGAGAGCCCGTGACATATATTCTCGCAGTAGTTGGTGTGATGATTGGGGCAGTGGAGTGTTGGCACGGAACTCAGCTGAATCTTTGGACCGCGACACTGCAGATCAACATCCAGATCATTCTAATCTGTACAAACAAGCAGCACATAGTAATATTACATCATAAGCCGCTGTGGCTGATTTGTTGCGAGAAAAAAAAACATTATATCATGACTGATAAACATATAAACATGTTTTGAGCTCAGTCGACAGCTATCTTACAGGTACACGCACAGCACTCATCTCGGAGGTGATGCGGCGCATCAGCATCCAGGTGGCCGTGGAGAGTATGGGTTTGAGTTGATTACACGGTACGAGTACACACAGAGGTGCAGCCGCGCAGCGCTCGAGTACAGTAGTACTAGTACAGTGCCATCACTCGGATCACACCTCTCACGGATTTGACAACCAGATAACATCGATTACGGCAGAAGTCGAGAGGAAGACGCAGCTGAGGAAGGCACACGCGATGGAGACCGCCGAGAGGTCGCAGAAACGTGGCAGGGGCTTGCAGAAGTTGGGGAGGGCCGTGTGCCGGATGCCGGTGCGGTTCAGATTGGCCACCGCCGCCGCCGCTGATCCAGCGCTCATCATTGCAAGCGAAAACACCTGTCATGTTGGCACCACATAGCTGTTATCCTTGTATTCCGTGGAAATGCTGACCATTTACAGGGCTCCAAATGTTCAGCTTGTATTGGCTGAGGTAAACAAAGTTATCGCTTCGTAGGGATACAACTAACGAGGTTGATTATGCTAGCATCTTGGAAGATAGGTTAGCCTGGGCTCGATTGGTCAAAAAGGCAGGGATGAGCCGATGAACAACGCTTTGGAAGCAAACAAAAGCTAAGGACAAGCATCGTAAATCCTATTCTTATATGGATGCTGGATTATATGGTTGTTGTGTTACCTGGGCTACTTTCAGATATCCTATCCAGAACCACTTTAATGTTCTGACCACGGTACAAAAATATGCAGCACACTTCTGAGGCATTTTCTAATTGGAGACGTCACATGGAAAGTTCATGTTGTTTGTGTGATACACTGTTGGAAAGCTCCACCTGATGACTCGAATAAAATGTTCTTAAGCTCATAATACTATGGAAATCTGGAAACCTCCATCCTACGGATATAGAAGAGTTCAGTAGATTCATCAGACAGGTAGAGACAGAATTGGATAAAATCTGGGCGACTGGGCTTTAGAAGATATAAGAATACTGCTTATTTCCATGCAGTAGCCAAGCAAAGGAGTGGGAAAAAGAAAATAGAGGTTCTGGAGGGCACTAATGATCCAGTTGAGGACCAAAAAGGCATGATGGATGTTGATGTTAGTTTCTACTATAAGGATCTTTTTTTTTTTTTTGGATCTGTTAGAAAAGAAGATAGTCCTAACATCCACCTAGCTCAGGATTTTTGGGAGCACGAGGAAATAGTTACAGAGGAAAATGCTCTTCTTACTGCTTCCGCTTCTGAGAGTGAAATTAAGGAGGTAGTGTTCAGTTGTTAGTTGTAACACTGATGGCGTTCCTGGACCTGATGGGGTATCCTTCATGTTTTATCATAAGTTTTAGATCCAGTAAAGGGTGATCTTATAGCTATGTTTGAGGATTTCTATACAAAGGTAATTTAGATCTAATATATACTCAACTTTGCTATGTTTACCTTAAATTCCAAAGGAGGAAGGTGCAAGAACCATGCAAAGTTTAGACGAATTAATCTAATTATTAATTGTAGAATTAAAATTTTCTCTAAGTCAAGATTAGGTAAAATAGCTGGTAGGTTGATTTCACCTCACCAAAGTGCCTTTATATAGGGTAGATGTATTATTTAGAGTGTCGTCATAGCCCATGAATTGGTGCATAGCTTACACAGCAGCAAAGAGCTGGGTATAGTTCTTAAGTTAGACTATAAAATGCTTATGATAGAGTCTGTTGTGACTTGGGACTGGACTTCCTTTTTGAAAGCTTAGAGACTAGAGGTTTTATCCCAACTTGGATTAATTGAATAGAGAACTTAGTCAAAAAAGGCTATGTGGGAGCGCTTAAGTTTATGGAATGACAATGTGGGAGCACACATGTATCATTTAGCTAATTGGGAAAGAGTTAGTGTGTTAACAGAATTTGGAGGATTAGGCATTCCCAATTTGAGAGATCTTAATGTTTGCTTGTTAGCCAGAAGCTGAAACAAACAACCTAGCTGTTGAACTATCTTCCGAAAAAACTAGAAAGCTGATTTTTTAGAAAATAAACTAAAAGTTGAAAAACACGCTAAGAGAAATTTTCCTGACATTTAGTGTGTTGAGAAACCCAAAAAAAATATTACAAAGTCAATAGCAAAAAGTCAAAAGGCCAAAAGTTGCAGCTCAAAGAAATGGACCCTAAATTGTTCTAGTCATTGTCCAACAAGATCTTGGTCTAACTAGTCTAAACTCGAAGTTGAACATCTAGAGAAAGCACAAAATACACGATGCAGCCACAACAAACAAGACGGAGTATAGTACAAAACAACAAATACTAGAAGTATAGTGACGCAAAAAACACGATAATTAGATGGACGTCGCAAAATCACATAAAAATGGCCAAGAAGGCAAGAACTGGCAAACCTGATCCACGGCAAAGAGCAGCCATGCGTGGCGTCCAGAGAAGGACCAATGGGGGCTTTCTTCATGACCTTGTGTGCAATCAAGAGGAGTTGTGCCAGCGAGTAGGCAGCTGAAGCTGAAGACATCGCAACCAAGAATCTAAAATCATGAACAGCACCACCGGAGCAAGTCAGTATTTTCTCTAAGCTCGTTTCAAAAAAAAAGTATTTTCTCTAAGCATAAGTACACATTTCAACTTCAAACGGCGCAAAAACTTACTGCAGTGAATAAGAAAAGGACCAATTGGCATAGAGCGGGATCTCGATGCCAAAGATGGTGAGAATGCCTCGCTGCTTGGAGGAGACCATTAGCAACATCGAGAGCAGTGCCATCACCATGGCTGCAGCTCGGGTTGCCACCATAACCACGCCCAGCCGTGGCCATCTTGGCACCGGAGATGTGGTCACCGGAAGAGCCTCAGGCTCCAGCACCATCTTGCCCCCCGCCGGTGGCATCTGGATGCCGACCACCGAGTCACTTCGGCCATTACCAATGGAACCCATCGGTGGTGCTCCTGGCTGTGGTTTGGTGTTTACTAGTAGACGGTTCAGTCTAGTTAGCCTTTTTCCCTTTTAGCATGTTGTGGCAACAGTATGTGATGCACCCGTGAGTCCTTTCTGCACTTGCTGTTTGACAGTATTTGGAAGACCAGACATGGAGACAAAAACAGCGCAGCTTTCGAGTACACTAGCAATGGGATTTAGCAGATTGCGGCAGTAATCGCCACGTGTCATGTGGAAGAACGCTAACTACGGCGCTGCATACTATAAGAATCTTATTTGAAAACTGGTCACTTCATAATTCTGTGTATACTTGCAATACTTTGCAGTCAGCAGGTACCGAGTTTTCTCGGGTGTGCCCCACCGCCCTACCAATATAATACCAACCAATGAAAGACTCAAGAAGCACACAGATTTTTCATTATGGATCTGATAATTGAAATTTAGCATTTCTCAGAGTCAAGCTCAATTGCGTACAAGTAATTTAACAGATGAGAACATATCTCTAGATGGTAACCTAGCTCGAGCAAGTAATGGGAAAATATTGAAGTGTAATAATGGCATAGCACTTATAACAAATATCTTTTTTCCTCTAATACACAGGAGAGTTACATATTATTGTGTTAAGAAGAAAACAAAATACCTGTCTGATTACTAGATGTTCAACGATCCTGTCAGTTTTTGGTTTACATGAGCTCCACAAGAATGAAGGCAAATGCTGCTCACTTAAACATTCTTCCTGCCTTTCTTTTTTGTGAGGAATATATATTATGCTTGATCAGACAACAACCATTTTTTATTTATCCGATCAATTATACCTGTTGTTGGCTGGCAACAATAGACACGGACACGTGATCAGAAGGCAAACAAGGTGAATTTGGTTCTTTCTTGAAAAAGTAATGATCTGTGACGTATGTATTGCAAAAGAAATAAAAGAGAGCAGAGAATAAACCTTAGATGATGATCACTTTTTGAGCTACAAACTGCAGCTACCAGCTAGGAGACTTTGTGACTTTTCTCTCAGACATGATCTTCCTCACCCTACATCCCGACAGCAACATATATGTTCGACAACACCACATAAACCCCGTTGTTCCATGGCTCAGACTCTACAAGCCTTCCTACTACCCACTCACCAACACTTGCATTACCATGTTTTTTGCATGCACCGAGAATTGTTCCTCAATCTCCTATCACCACATTGGCCTCCATTGGCATACTCTGCTCCACCAATTCACCAAAGCACCTGCCTCATCCTGTCATCCACATGGCCAACTCTATCAAGTATATCACCACCACCACTTACTGGTAGTGTTCAGCGGTTGGCACTACCATGATTTTTCCTTCTTCCATTTGCTTCAGCAATCCCAACTGTATACCCACCAGCCCTCCGAGCGCGCAAGCAGAGAACACGGCTAACATCATCACCCTATTTGGTTGTATCGTTTCTCTCTGCATATCATGAAACTTGTTGGGTGCACCCTGATCCTCGCCATGCGTTGCAAGCCCTGTGATCATGGTTGTCCATGAAGACACATCACTGACAGGCATTCTCTCAAATACCACTGTTGTGAGGACCGTGCGGCCACACTTGGCATACATATCGGACCAATGCATTGGGCAGTGTCACATCAAGCTGGCCAGAGCGCTAGAACTGTAAGATGCACTTATGCATCTGCCCCGACAAGCCAACATCACCATTCGCAAAGCATGCCAACACAAAACTCACCATGGCCAGATGATCCGGTACCGTGCCGTGCCTCCGCAGCTCATGAAACAACGTCAACGCCTCCTTGGATCCTTGCGAGAAGCCGCTTATGAAGGCGTTCCACGAACCTAGGCCCCGGTTCGGGTTTTCGTCGAACACCCTTCGCGTGCTGTCTCGAGCCTTCGCGTAGCCGCTGATGAGCGCGCTCTCGGTGAAGACCTGGCGCGCGAGGCCGCGCTTGGCAGCGGCGGCGTGGAGCTACAGGCGTAGGGTGGAACCAGGGACGTGTAGCGGTCGGGTGCGGCGCCGTGGGGCGCGGGCTATCATGCATATAGCACACGGCGGATCGAAGTCGAAGCGGGGCGAGCCGAGGCGGAGGTAGGCACGGGTCACGGGCTCACGGCATTCCAGTGGAAGGGCAGCGGGAGGAGGCCGCGGCGCAGGATGCACACGTGGATTCGCGGCGGGAGGATCACACGTCGGTGCAGGACTCGAACCGGACCGTGGCAAGGTCGGCGAGGTGGAGAAGCAGGAGGGGACCGGAATACGCGGAGTCGCGCGGGCGGCAGGAGACGGGCGCGTGAGCGGCGGGCATAGCACGTACCGGTGACATGGGAATTGGGATGGCAGTATGGTACCATCAGGAAATTCGAATTCTTGCGGAACGGTCTCTGTGTTTGTTGCTAGGAGTAGTATGTTTGTTGCTGCCTGGAGTTGGAGCTGGTTTACAGAGTACGGTCGCGTAGAAATTTGGCAAAACTTCAACTCCATCAGGAGAATTTTACACAAACATGTATGCACTTAAAAAAAAGAGAGAGTACTCTGTGAATTCTTATCTTACTGTGAAACAGAAGCAAAATTATGTGGAAACACACCCGCTGCCACAAACCAATTCAACCTAGGCGACATCTACCTTCAGTTCTTCACCCACGGCTTCACCATGATCTCCTCCTCGAGCCGCTGGGCGACGCCACGCGCGAGTTTCTCCAGGAACGCCACGAACCCCTCCAGCGTCCAGCCCTTCACCGGGTCGGCCTCGAACGACCAGCTGACCGCGCACCCGGCCGGGTCGTGCTCCACCCGCACGGTGGCCCGGTACCTGCCGAAGCCCTTGTTGCTGTCCAGCAGCTCGTAGCTGTACCACCGCCCCGTGTGATCCGTCTCCAGGAGGCGCTCCTTGGACCACCCCACGGGCTCCCCCGGCGCGGCCATGTTCACGGGGCCCTCGCAGTAGCGCACGCACCCAGGGGAGGGGGCGGGGCGGCCCTCCGGCTCCGCCGCGCCCTCCACCTCCACCTCCACCTCCACCACGCGCCGGCACGTCCGCACCGTGGAGACCCACCGGTCCAGGGAGCAGAAGTCGCCCAGCAGCGCCCACGCCTCGTCGGGCGTCGGCCCCGACGCCACGGCGCGCACCGTGCCGCGCCACACGGCCGCCGCCTCTTCCCGGGCCGTGTCGTGATCCATGGAATGGAGTGGAATCGTGCGCCTGTTGTGTGTGTAAGTGGCGATGCGATGCGAGACGTGCGTGCGCGCGACGGCGAGACGTGGAGTCAGCTGGTCCTCGCTGTTTTATACAACGCCGTCGACTGCTGGCATGTACAAGTGTCCAACCGCAACCGGGCAGAGTAGCCTGAATGCCTGATGTGCGTGGCCATGGTTGGCGCTTGGCACAAAGGTCAGTCACATGGTGAGATATCGCTCGCTGAGGTGTATAAAGTGGCCGTGTCCAATGGCTGCCGTATTCGTCTCCTCTAGCCTCTAGTCTAGGATGTATACTAGTACCCTCTATAGTACGAAACGTTCAAGCATAGCTTATTTTAAGATGTGGCGTGAGGTATAAACGTCTTATCAATTGTTGGGCCACATATAAAAAAAAAACATACTACGGCTACTAAATGAAGAGCTTTTTTTCTGGCAGACAACGGAGAAGATTCTCTCTCGTTCTTCCGGTCCCTGTTATATGTGCATTATTTTCTACACCAACTCAACGGGGTATATACCATCGGTTGTTCACTGATTGCTTTCTGGGCTGATAAGCTCGACTGATGTTGATTTGTTGTGAGAGAAAAACACTATTAACTGACTGATAAGCCCTGACTAAAATCAACAAACGAACGGGCTAAATGGGTGGCTGTCTGGCTGCAATCTTCCCACTATCGCTGAGCAATAGTAGTCATTGGATACCAGCTTCCCGATCAACTATTTTTGTACTAATAATAACTCCATCCCCCAGCGCCACCACTGATATCGAGTTATTGACTATTTCAAACGACAGAATTTATGAGATTTGCTATATTTCAGATGTCTGAATTTTAATTTTCTTTTAGGCGACAATTATTGCATATATTTTATCCTAAAATTGCAATTTTAGTTCGTTGCAATTTCAGTAGACAAAATATGTAAAGAGGTAAACCGAGAAAGTTGACTAGTTGAGAATGATTTTGTTTTTTTATTCAATAGTTGAGAATGAGATTGTGTCGCTATGCCTTTACTTTTTCTACAAAAGAGAAAAAAAATATGCGAAAGAAATATGCCTAAGGGCTCGTTCGGTTAGGGGTAAATCTAGGTAGGAATTGTTCATGGTGAACAATGGCAATATAAGTTACACTAGCAATCCTGATTGGAATGATTCCAGGGCACCAATCCATAACAACCGAACGCAGCCTAAATAAATCTATGTAGGAGTCATGATGCCTAAAAAAAATCCATTTGGACAAAGAGGTAAGTAAGAATGGCTGATAAGTGTGATTATTATGAATTTATGTGGCGCAAGTATTTCCAATTCTCTGAAAAAATCAAAAAGAAGGAAAACATATAATTAAAAAACTATGTAGGAGTCATGATGCCTAAATAAATCCATTTGGACAAACAAGTAAGAAGGCTGATAAGTGTGATTATTATGCATTTATGTGGCGCAAGTATTTCCAATTCTCTGAAAAAAATCAAAAAGAAGAAAAACATATAATAAAATGAAAAATCCGCCCACCGTGGGGTTCGAGAACCCACGACCACAAGGTTAAGAGCCTTGCGCTATACCGACTGAGCTAGATGAGCGAATATATTGGTGACAAAGATCACACCATGAGAAAATCGTTGGTATCCATGGATCACGGTTCTATATGCAAATCTAGCATTTAAATGGTGCAGAAAAAAATCGGCCTTCTATAAGTTCCTTGCATCAGCCACAAGATACATAGCTGGGTGCAACCTAGAACTAACAAGTACCCCTCTAATGAAACCTTAGATATTCTTTTATTTTATCGAACATACACCCTCAATGCACACGACAAACTGAGGCCTGTACTTTTATCTCTGTAGGAAATTAAATCTCTTTATGCAGTAAACATACATAAAAGCAAAGAGGGCAGTAAAGCCAGCCAACACTGCTGCCACTACACCCATGAAGTCCGGGTCATAGCCAAAGTAGTCCTTGATGAAAGTCTTGACTTGCTGATCGGATTTCCCAGGCACCTTGATGAAATCCTCCACATCACCATATTGCGACACAATCAGTCCATAGACTGTCCATGCCACTGGACAAATCCAATAGTACCAAATCCACCACACCGGGATTCTCTGAACATGACATGATTTGAGTTAATCCACAGAGAATGTAGTGCACAGTGCTTTGAAGTCGCTGAAGTTACTTTAGAGAAGCAGGACAGTGACTCACCGATCTTGGAACAATGAACCCTGAGAAGAGATTAAAGAGACCGTAGAACGCAGCGGCAAATATGGAAGCAACCTGAGGGTTTGGTGTTAGGGCAACACTCATCATACCATAGTAAGTGAAATAGAGGAACGTGAGGAATGTTATGTAGAAGAACCAGAAGAACTTTGCTGGTGTCCACTGGTAAGACATCATTGAGTACACAATAAGAGCATATATGACAGACTCGACGAACACATATGGTATCTCAACAACAACCTGAACAGAGAAAAGAAATGATTACTGTTTCAAATGCTATCAGATAGAACATCAATTCAAATTATTTTGTTTCTGCCTTATGCCACATATTAAATATGTACATCATACTTTGCCATAACCTTGCAATGTATTTTTTTCAGTTCAGTTGAATTGCTAGTTCATACTGACCTGTGAGAAAGCATAGGGTATAGCTGAGTACATTCCAGCTGCACGCTCCCTGTAAAAGACCGTCCTTTCCACAGAAATAACAGGTTGAGCAGTTATACAATTGTCAAAGCCAACAAATGCGACAGCAAAATACATTGATCCGACGATGATCAAAAGATCTGCTGAACTCTTCCTGCACCAAATAACAAATAGTTAAGGATCCTGCAATATATATTCACAATAAAATAAATGACTGCAAAGCCATAGTTAACAACTTAGCATGGTAAGAACATACATCTTACTGCCAACCCTCCAAAATATAATCCCCAACATTAAGGCAGTAAATAATGCAAAGACCATTCTGACAAGGTTGTAATCAGGGCTTCTCCAGTAAGTCAACCATTGCTTCCAGAGGCAGAATTTGAACTGATCAAAGGTGCTCTGAGAGTATTGAGTGGGGAAGTAGAGGTCACTGGAACCAGGAGACGGCTTACTCAACTCTTTGACTAATGCTTTGTTCCGCCTGAAAATAGCCAGTCATACAACAAAGTAGACATTACCCAAAAGATCTGGTTGCTTTAAAAAGGAGGAGGAGGTAGGTTTATCCAAGCATGAATTGTAGTATATTTCAAGGCGGGTGGTGTATCAACACAAATCTGTACGGATCACATGTTGATGGTGCAGTACTGCCAGCACTACGGTGGATGCTTGCTCCTTCGCAAAGCAGCAGGGGCAGCGGACAAGGTTGTGGTGGTTTGAAGCCATGGGTTCAAGTCCTGGTCCTTAGTTTCTCTTACATATTCTTTTTTTTTTCAAAATTTAAAAGCAGGCCTAAATACATTGTCACCAAGAAAAAAGGGTCCTGCTGCACTTACTGATGCATAGTTGATGACTTGTAATGTTCTGCAAAATCAATCTTCAACTGAACCTCTGTAGAAGCTGAGGTTACATCCAACATCCATGTAGCAGGGTTGCACCCCTCTTTGATCTTTGGGATTCCAGGAACTTCCTGGTTTGATAAAAGGATAAACATATTTAAAAGAATACACCATGATATATAGATTTTAGAAGAAAGAATTTCAAATAGAGAAGGATCAAATGTATCCTTATTACTGCAGAATCTGTTGAAGGTAACACAAGATGACAGAAAGCTAAAAGCTATGTGATAATTGGAAGTAGCTTAAATATCACATACCTCAAAGTATTCAACAACTTTATGTGAGTTCCTACCCAGTGGCCCAGAGTATATGATCTGGCCTCCTCTTTTCATTAAAAGCAGCTGCAGGATGAGAACACAAAGATTGAAGCACTGCTATATGTGTATATGACAATAACATTACTGCAAGATGCAAATGCATTACCTCATCAAAAGCTTCAAAAATGTCAATACTTGGTTGATGGATAGTGCAGACAACAGTTCTTCCAGTATTGACGGTGTTCCGAACAGTTCTCATAACAACTGCAGCAGCCCTTGCATCAAGACCTGAAGTTGGTTCATCCATAAAGATGATCGAGGGGTTTGCCACAAGCTCTACAGCAACCGTTAATCGCTTTCTTTGTTCTGTTGAGAGCCCGTTCACACCAGGGAGACCAACAATAGCATCCTTGAGGCCGCTAAGCTCAACCAATTCCATAACTTCATCCACGAATATCTAAACAGATGTAAACCAACTTTAATGGACTTAATTCACCTCAAAATAACTACACGTGTACCCCAGCAAACACTGCAGGGAGTTATCATGCCTCACTATCTATAAGCAGGTGTAAACCAACTTTAGTGGACTTAATTCACCTCAAAATAACTACACGTGTACCCCAGCAAACACTGCAGGGAATTATCACGCCTCACTATCTACAGACATCAGTTGTTAGTTCATACTGTGAGTAGAACAAGAAAGCACCTTCTTTTCTTGGTCGGTGACTTCCTTAGGAAGACGCAGGAAAGCAGAAAAGAGCAGGGACTCCCTTATAGTGATCTGTGGAGAGTGGATGTCATTTTGTTCACAGTAACCTGATATTCTTGCGAATGTTTCTTGGTTCTTAGGGTAACCGGATATATAAATTTCTCCTTCAATATATCCACCAGTCTTCCTTCCAGATAAAACGTCCATGAGAGTAGTCTTTCCAGACCCGCTCACACCCATAAGAGCAGTGAGGACACCAGGTCGAAAAGCCCCAGATATCCCTGACAGCAGCTGAAGCTTATCTGCGGTTACTCCTTGACTTTTCATCTCCTGACATATTAACAAACTGCAAATAAGATATAACCACCACAATGCCCAAATAACTCATAAAATAACATGCCATGTTTGCAGATATGCATCAGCATAATCAAGAGCTTTTCTAGAAATCTATTAACTCAATAGTCCCAATCTGAAATCTTGACAAA